CAAATATCTCACTCCATTCTTCAGCTCGATGAAGCTGTCATACTTTGTTCAATTTTGTGTTTTATGTGGGTTCACATCACTCCAGGTTATTTTTCTTAGCATCAATTGTCTGGCTTAACTATAGTTTGCTGGTTTGCCTCCATGGCCCACAGAAGGATAATTTTGCTGTTTCCACTGTCGGTGTGGGAAGCAGTACTTCTGTGGACAGTCTTCTGCACCATCCTCCTGAGCAGTTGTGAGAGAAGCTCTCCCCTGGTGGTAGTCAACATGAGGCATGTAGTAGGAGCACTCGGTCTTCCAGGGAAGAGAAGAGTGGGTGCTGGTGCATCTACTCAAGCATTCCATGTTTCCAACCCTAAATATTTGGCTCTCTGAGGGTCCTGAGAAAGTTTTTAGTAGACAGAGAATAGAACTGGCTTTCTTTTGTCTCTTAAAGAATTTAACAGAGTTGTTTTATAACTGTCTCTGTTTTTCCCTTGTTTGAAGTGCCTGCAGTTCTGACTCTGCCTTGGACCTAACAGGATTGTGGACCTCAAGTTAGACTGCCTGGTTCAAATGCACCACTTTGTAGTGCATGTGCTCACTTGTCCTGAACCTCAGTTTCCCCAAGTTAGACTGCCTGGTTCAAATGCACCACTTTGTAGTGCATGTGCTCACTTGTCCTGAACCTCAGTTTCCCCAGCTGTGCAATGGGAAGAATGTTCTCTGTCTGTGGTGGAAGTATCTCATGATGTCCCCAAATAGATGCTTCCCTCACTAGATCAGGCCGATTATCATTAGGAAACCTCTGCCTGTCCAGGAAAAGCTCTCAGAGATAATGGCATGGACTGAGGTTACGTGACTGATCTAGCTGGAGGGACATGAGTGAAAATATTGTGTGTTGCTCACAACGAGGTGGTTAAGAAATAACCACTCTTACTCCCGTTCCTTCCCTCATTTGTCATCAGATTTGGATGTCACCAAAGCCCACCGGGCAGCATGCAGCTGTGAAATCTGAGTCCCAGGTTCCAGGTAAAGAGCTGCCTATGTTGCATTGTCATGTAAACATAAAATAAATGTCTACTGAGCTTGACTCAACTTGTCACAACAGTTCACACTGCGTTGCCTAACGTCCGGCCCCAGCGATGTATGAGAGAACAGGAAGGAGGTTTTTAGGGATAGAACCTAGCCGAGTAGCAAAGGTCAACTAAGCTCAGTGTCCACTTGAAAGCTGTCACCCACACACATTGCTGAGTCCTTCTGAGAATGGTAGCAGAGCTTGCATGGAGACATCGCATTTGTTCAAACATAACGAAGAGAGATTATTTCCCAATTCAGTGTTGAATAGGATTGCTTCAGAGAAACCATGTCCACTCTGACTTAGAGGTATTGGATATGTGAGCCCCATGGGAACAGGTGGCTGCTAATCACCTCCATGCTACCAGGCTGCATAGGAGGCCTAGGGGAAAAGGGGGCTGTGCCTAAATATATCTCTCTGGCTCCTTTGTAAAGTTTTGTACAAGAAGTGTTTCAGAAGTGTATTTAGTTAATTGCAAATTATGTCTAAAAATAAATGAAAATAACAGGAGTACCTTACGGCGCCTTCCCTTTTACAAAGGATTGTAGTCTGTTGGGCCATAATAGCAGATATTTATTGAGGTCAGAGAGTGAATAGCAATTTGCACATATTGTTTCCTGTTTCTTAGGGCTTTTGTTAAGACTCCATCAATTTAGCACATTTCATTGACACACAAGTAGAAACTGTTTGGAGTGCTTGTGTGCTTCACTAAAGGGCCCCAGGAGAGGCTAACAGTGTGTAACTGAGGCTAGTTGTGTTTCACTTCCCCCTGCGTGCTGCAGCAGGTTCCCTACCACTTCTTCTTCCCTAGGTGTGGCCAAGACAGACTTAGCACCGGCGTTTACACGGATGGAGAGCAAAGGCAGCGGCCCCTGCTTACCAGCCTGATGCTTCAGTGTACACCCCGACCATGATGAGATGCAGGAGCAGTGCATTTGGAGAAAAGACGGGAGGAAACCATACAAGCTGTCTCAAAGAACAGTTTATTGTCTCATCAAACAGCAGTCCTGCCTGCTTTCTGAAATAAGCCAAAGCACAGGCGGTGATTTCAATTACTTTAAGAAAAAGAGTATCTTCACATTTTTGTCAACAGGTGAAGCTCACAGTGTATCCAAATAGTCTCTTCCTACATTCAGGTGGAAGATATCAGACAAATTCCTTCCACAGGCAGTATGGCATTCCTGTTACTCCAGGACATGACACGGCCCAAGGGCTGGAAACACACCAGAGAGGCAGAGGGAGGAAGGAAGAATTGAGTTTGTGGACAAGAGGATGCTTTTAAAATCCTCTGATGCTGGCAGGTTCTGATGTGGCAACTGCTTCAAAGAACAGCAATGTGTTCTGAGCATAAAATGTGTCCCAGACACAATGCCCAGAGCTTTCTGTACAATATGATGGCTGATCTCATGGAAAGCTCCAAAAGGATCGGATAGTTATTCATCCACCACAGCCTATGGAGGCAGCCAATCTGTCCAGAGGTGCCTCAAGTGGAGATGATGACATGATCCAATTCCAAGCCTGTCTGACTGAGGTGGAACACAAGCAGGCAGGCCGAGCTGATGTGCACAATGACGGGGGTCACATCTGAATGGAGGCCAGGAGAGGCCCTAAGGAGGCAACTGTGGGTTCTGAAAGGTAAATCTGCATTCCTTGCCTGTGCCAGAAAAGATCACAGAAACACTCTAGTTCACTGTTGCTCCATGGCCCCTAAGGAGCAGGTCTGTGTTCACACCTTTGGCCTCTGATCCCCAATGGAAGGCCATGGTGGGAATGCTGAGTCTGGGTCAAGCCTGAACTTTGGGAAAGCCTGGAACCCCCACCAGCCTCATGAAACCAGAGATGAGGCCTCTCTGAGAAGTTCACCCATCCTGTGGGGCCACCCACAGAGGTGATGGGGATATGCCACCAGGGAGAAACACTAAGGCTGCAAGCAGAAAAAGAAACCTGGCTGCAGCTGAATGTAGACCCTGTGGCTCAACAGGCAGGACCCACATGGAGCCACATCAGCCCAGATTGCAGAGCTGCAGGCACACAAATTGCCCAGTAGTGTTCCGAGTAGCTAGGTTCTGGTAGCTTGCACAGAGAGACAGATGGTCACAGGGGCAGGGAGACACAGCTGAGCTGATGCCGGTGGTCTGAGTGGCAGAGATTGGATGCTATGTGGCTGGTGACCCCATGTTCATAGACACCAGGCTAAAGTGTGTCTAAACTACGAAGGCCATTATAGGTATTCACTGAAGATATCTCAATGAAGTCACATGAAGTTTATGCACTGCAGGAAGATAAAACTGGTGGCAGTCACACAATGGATGAGGAACCAAGATGGTACTGAAACCTGGGAACTACTGTTCCACCTGAGGCTGGAACCAGATACCAGACTCCTGGAGAAAAGCACGGAGCCAGGAAGTCTTTCCTCCCAAAGCTGTCAGTAGAGAAGCACATTTTCACCTGTCCACAGGGGTTTCAGCAGTCCCCACTGTGAATCAGGATCACAGTCCATTCCCAGAAGCACCTCAGAGACAGGGCTCAGGTGCCACTGAGCCTAGAGACAAGCCAGCCCAGCCATCTTATCCCTGAAAGTTCCACTTTGGGCCTCAGGAACCTAATGTCAGAGGCTACTGTTGTGGGACTATTGATTACCTATTTCCTGGCAGTTATCTGAACACAGAGATCACATGTGCTAAGGGGATGGCAGAGGCTGGAGGAGCTTCAGCAATGACACTGAGAATGAGTCACAGTGTCCAGTGCCATGAATGGGCTCCAGATATTGTCCACATCTCAGGGTTGTGTGCCATAAGGACACACAGACGCTAAGCCTTCACCATAGTCTCTCATGTGACAAGGATCCAGTCATCAGGATCACTGCAAGATGACCAAGGCAGATGGGAGTCTCTTGGCTGAACAGGTTGGGCTTAGGTCCTGTATTTATCCATTTCTCAGGGCTATAATGAAATACCTAAGGCTGGATGACTTTTTAAGAAGAAATTTATTTATCTTACAGTTTCTGAAACTGAAAGTCCCAACAGCAGGGTTCTAGTGCAAGTGAGAATCCCTTGGCTGCTTCACATCAAGACTGATGGCATCATGGCAGGACTGTGTGCAAGAGAGAGGGGTCACACCATGTGACAGGATGCCAGAGGTTGGGGAGGAGCCTGGCTTGCTCTTTCTGTAAGTCTTCTCTCAAAAACAAATCAGGGTCCCACAAGAGCTATCCTAATCTCTCCTGAGGGCAATGTTCCCAATGACTTAAGAGGATAACGTTTCACTAAACCCCATCTCTTAAAAGTCCCAGTACCTATTACATTGCTACAGAGAAGACAAATATCCTCTTTGAGTGAAAATGACATCTAAACTATAGCTGCAGTGTTCTCTGAGGCCCTCTGAAATGCCCCAACCCACACATATAACCTGCCCATTCTAAATGCATATAGCCCATGGTTATTTTTCAAAGTCATTCCAGAGGAGAGGGGTTTGAACCCACACACTGAGGTTTCTTCTGCAGGAAACAAAAGGAAACGTTGCAGAACCTCAAGATTTACAAATGCACCTAAGGGTGGTCAAGAAGTATGGATGGCTCTGGGCCGAGGGTGCTCCAGAGTAACCAAAGGGTGAAGGCCAATTTCCTGGGCTTGAGGGGCTCCCAAAGCACACAGCCTAAGCCAAAACAAGCTCTCCCAGGATCCTTCTCAGTGTCAGAGGTGATGAGATCAACGGATCTCCAACATGACCTCGGTGGCCTCTGAGAAAGAAAGAGCCCACCCACATCTGAGAGAGAGGTACTGCATCACATGGAGACTTAACAGTAAATTACTTAAATTCTCCCCTGCCATGCTTCTATCCCTGCCAAGGGGACTGGTCTGGCATTAAGAGGCCTCACTGCAGTGATTAGACACTGGCATAGTTACCAATCCTTACCCAAATGCACCCGTCTTACCAAAAAGAGTCATCTCCTGGGGGTTCTTCCTCTTACTGTCCCTGGTCCTCACCCTCCGTGAAGAATGTCTCTCTGCCCAGACACTGGCAGCAGCATCTGTAGCAGCCAGCTGGAGAAGTTAAACAGATAATTACCTCCGCATGCAGCATGGTGAGCCAGTTATTAAGGAACTGATTAATTGCTGCAAAAGTATATGCTGAGTGACATTGAAACCATATGAAAGAGTGTGGGCCAGATATCTGAAATAGGAACATTCTTCAACATGCCAATTATCCTTCTCAATAGTGTCCACCCACTTGGAATTATGGAGAATTTTCAAGATAAAATGGCATTGATGTCATTGTGATTTTGCTGCCTGACATAGAGTGTGGTCCAGAGGCCAGGCCCCTGCCCTATGTTAGCTTTATTCCACAAGGCATGACCACACTGAGTCAGGCAGAGTGATCCCATATGAGGAAACTTGGATATTATTGTCTTCATTTCTGACCCATGGATCTCTAACTTTTCCTAAAATGTAGGATTTTGCTATACTTTTCCTGTGAACATATCTCAACCCCATTGTGCTAACAGCCTTTTAATGTGTTATGTTTTTCCCCTGAATTATGTAACGATACAGTGATGGTATTTTTGCAGGTAAGCAGCAGAAGTGAGCTTGGAGATCCCTCAGAGGAGCCTTCCCAGAATGGGCCTCCAACCTCCACCCACTGCGGGATTTTGAGTCCAATCCTTCACCTATGGGGCTTCAAATTCTCAATGGAAATGTCCCCTTGGTATTTTAAGCAGGGCAAAAGCTGATGGCATGTGTTCCTTTCTAGCAGCTCACTGACAGTTGGAAGAATCAAAGAATATTGTTTATCCTCTTTGCCATTCCACAGCCAGCTGCTCGCCGTGAACAACAGGCTGAGGGAAGCCTGAAGTCTGACCCTTCAACACAGAGTGACCCTTCAGTGTCCACTCTAGCTGGGCATGATGGTGGCTTGCCAGCTAGCTGCCCTCCCTTCCTCCATCCTTGCCCCTTCTATTCCTGTCCACTATGTGGAGCACAGTTGAGTTCATCTTTTTTTTTCAGTACAGGGGATTGAACCCAAAAATGGTTCATAATGAATTTATTTCCAGTTCCTTTGTTGGTTTATTTATTTATTTTGAGAAAAGTCTCTTTGAGGTGTTAAATTGCCCAGGTTGGGCTTGAACTTGTGATCTGGCTGTCTCAGCCTCCTGAGGTACTGAGATTACAGATGTGTGCCATCATGACCAGCTCAAAATCTATCATTTTATGGGTCATCTACTCACATATTCCAGGGTGAAAAGCTTCTATGTCCTGAAGGAATCTGGGGGCTGCAGAGAAGCCCACCCGATACTGAATACAGCTCCTAAGCATGCATATCAGCCTCTTGAGCAGCCAAAACCTTGCTGTCTGCCTCTCAAGGTCTGGGCCTTTTCCTAAGGGTAACAGGCCTTGACCCCATGCAAATACATATCTGGTGTTGACTTGGTGCCTAACACAATTTTGTAAAAGTTTAATTAGTAATAGAAGCCTTATAATAAACTATTTAAAATATATACAAATGAAAGTACACATCCATGACCTCAGAGAGCAGTTATAAATAGTGCTCTTTGGACAACAATCCCACAGGAGAAACAGAATCCCGGGATGGGCCTTTCCCTAAATAACCTCTCACCACCTTGGACCTTCCTGACCCCTTTCTCTGAAGCTCTGATGAATCACGGATGCAGATCTGGTGATTTTCTCATTGGTGGTAGTATTTCTTGCCTCTTTCTCTAAACCAGCCTTTTGTTCTTGACCTTAAAAGGTAGTCAGAGTCTTAATGGTACTTACAGTAAGGCGTGCAGTGACATGACCATCCACAAGTTATACACACTCTATGCCTCAGTTTCCCGCTCTGTATGAAAGGAAGACAACAGCCACTGTGGACTGAAGATACGTGTTTCCTTCTCTCCTCCAAATTTCACATATTTACATTCTCTCCCACAGTGGGACGGTATTTGGAGGATTAGCCTTGGGGAGGTGATTAACATTAGACTGTGTCGTGAGGGTGAGACCATCACCACAAAGGGATTAGAACCCTCACAAAAGAGAAAAAGGCAGGGTATCTCAGTCCAGTGCACTAATCCAGTAAGGACCACAAGTGGACACCACTCAAAGACAGCTAGTTGCAAAGCAGGAGAAGGCCCCTTATCAGATACGCTTTGACCTTGGACCTAACTCCTGAATGAAAAAAGTAAAATGACGTCAGGCAGTGATATTGCTCTATGTCCCTAGTGTTGAGAGATGAGGTGAAGAGCTTGCCTAAGGTCACACACCACTGATGGGCAAAGCTGGGGTTTGAATTGAGGTCTGTTTGTTCCCAAGCTCTCGAAGACTCTCCAGAGAACAGTGTGACTTGCTTTTAATAATATGGCTTTCCTAAATACATCATTACGCTTGTTTAGGAAACCTTGTCAGTGACAAAACAGTCCCCTGATAGACTGCCAGTGAATGAATTTCCAAATTAAGGTAATATGTTTATAGCTGTTTGTGCCTACAGTGTATAGTTGCAGGCTCTTTATTGGTGTGTGCGTAGGTTTTTGTTTCTAACATGGTTTTCCTCATCCTCCCTGCCTATACAACCTAACGTGACTAGCACCCTGGAAAGTGGAGCTCATTAGAGATGTGGAATCCAGAGACTGTCTGGAATATCAAGTGTCTAAAGCAAAGTGAACAAGCCCTTCAGAACTTTTCAAATCAGCAGAGCCTGGCCACATTAATTATTAACTGCTCTGTGACCTAAATAAATCTGAGGCTCATGCTTCATTTAAACACTGCTTGTCACACAATGTGTTCACTCAGTCCTCCAAATAATGTGAGTGCAAAAGAAAGAAAGACATTGTCTTTCAAGTGCAATTATTACTGGATAACTACACAAATTAATGTAGCCCACCTTTAATGGTACAAAGGCCCGTATGCTCTAGCATGTGCAAAAGGTACAGTGAGCCCTCTGTGGTGGAGAAGAGAATGGGAGGACTTGTAACAGGAAAGTTAAATGATTCTTTAATAAATATAATTTCTTACTATAGAGTCTCCATCTGTATTCATTCAAAATTTGTCAGTAAGATCATTGTTGAACATTTATCAGAGATCTGTTTAGCCAATAGTCAAATGATAGCTAAATGACAACAATTAGAATAAATGCCACCCTTGCTGATAAGTACAAGTTCCTTTTCTGGCTATGGATTTGTGGCAGTTCAGCAAACTCCAAATATCCCTTCTGTGTTTGCTAGCAATCATGGATTGTGTGATTGGGTGTAGAATCTACAAACAGAGAATCAATACTAGTGACTGCACTTTAAATGTATGTTTCTCAATGCCCCTCTGCCATTCCTTCCAGGAGAATAACCACAAAAGGCCGAAAATGGTACCCTTACAAAGTATTCTTTCCTTGGGATCTTTCTGGATCTATCTTGTCCTTCTTTTCACCATGCTACAGTTTATGTCCAGATGTCTCCCCAAAGCTTCATGTGCTCCTAGGTAGGGCTTTGGGGAGGTGGTTGGACCATGGAGGCACAACACTCCTCAGTAGATGAGTCCCCTGATGATTGTATGGCTGATGATTGTATGTGATGTTGGAAGGTGGAACCTGGTCAGAGGAGGAGAGTCATTGGGGGCGTGGCCTGGAAGGGTCTGTCTCCCTCCCATTTCCCTTGATCTCTTTCTCTGCTTCCTGCTGCCATGCCATGCAGGTACTTATCCTCTGCCATGCCCCTCTGCCACACCACCCTGCCATGGAGCCAAAGGACAGTGATGGCAACCCCTACAAACTGCCCAGCCAAAATAAACCTCTCTTCTTTTAAGTTGTGGCTATCGGGTACTGTGTCTCAGCAATGAGAAAGTAACTAAGATACATCCATGCAGCTTTCAGGAGTCCCATCTCCTGCAAAATGACAAGATGAGCATGCTAGGGCACGCTCTCCTGTCCTAGTCAGCCAACCTGAAGGTGAGAATCCCTCAAGTTGGATGGGAGATAGTAGACATTCCACCCTGGGAATTACAGACATCTCTATGAGGCAATCCCAATGGCCCTGGTATCTCTGGGGTGGGAAAACGGCCTCCTTGTCACATCCAAATCGGAGTTCACCCAAAGTTTGGTGTTACAAGTGTTAGCTTGAACCACTACCCGGCAGCTTCCTCCTCATGAGCCCTCAAATCAGAGCAAGAGAGGTTGGAGAAGAGGAGGAGAAGAGGGAAGGGAAAGAGAGGAGAGGGCAGAGGAGGAGAGGGGCAGGGAAAGAAGAGAAAGGGACTCAGAAATTCTTTTAATGCTCTGGTTTCCTGAACTTTTATTGTTTCAGGAAGTTCAGGATGCAGCTCCCAAAACATCCTCTTCCCTGCTTTTCCACTGAGAGCCTATGGCTGCGTGACATCTGACCCACATCTGACCCACTCGCTGTCCACTGGTGGGTCCTCCGGGGATAAGCCCCTCAGGGCGGAAAGCTGTCCTGAGGGAAGTTAATGCGCTTTGTCTCTCCCTCTCAGCCCAGGTGCCCGAGACGCCCTGAACTGCTTTTCTGCCTCAGTCTCCTGCACTTGCTGCTCCCGTTTCTCTACTGTTGTCCCCCAAACCAGGAACCAGCACTGTGAAGGAGAGTGGAGTCAGTGCTGGGGTGGTTTGTTGTGTTTTTCTCAGAGTTTACTTAGAAGTTAGTTCAAGTCTAGAAAAAAGCCAACAATAATAAATACCTTTAACCTTTTTAAAAAAGAAGATTGTGAGAAGATCTTTGTAGACAAAAATTCTTAGAGTCAGAGACTTTTCCTTTTTTGTTTTCTTTTTTTCAGGTATCTAGGGTCTAAGAAAGTGAGCCTAACACCTTCTCTGCAGAGATGTTTTTATGCTATTACAAAATATGCTGTTCCCTTTGAGGGGTTATGATAGTTACTTTTGGTCGCAAATGTTTTTAAAATTAGAAATTTAGACATTATGAGTTTGGGGACTTTATTTGCTTTTTTTTTTTTTTCTCTCATGGAAACCATCAGAATTCTCTAGGGACTTAACTCTAATTGGATGAAACAGCCAGAAACATCCAGTGCCAAACCTCTTCTAGACCAATAGAACAAAATGCCATACATGGAGTGTAAAGTCACCACCTGCCAAACATAAAGTGAAGTAGCCATGTGATCTGGAAAATGGAGGAAGGTTCATCCCAGATAAACTGTGCTGACCCACCCCAGTCGATGCCTGAAATTCAGGGTCTTGTTAAAATGCAGGCAGAAACGTCATGAACCAGTCTGCTTGGAAGTGAGTTCATGTCTCTGCTTCTCATGGGAGGAGAGAATGGGGGAAAAGAGAAGAAAATGTATTTCAGCTTCCGAATTCTAATAAGCACTTAATGTGCCTTAAAGCACCTCAAACCACACTGAGACTTCCTCCCTGAGCTATACAGAGGGTCTTATTGCTTCCTCTCAACTTGCAGGTTGTGAAGCAGTGCATGTGCTAAGAGCCCACAGAGATGAATGGGTGGCCCTGCTAAAATATCATCCTGGAAATGTCATAGCTTATGGGAGTGTGTTATTTCATTTAAATTGGGATGATGAGAAAGGTACTGTCATTTTCCTTGTTTAGGGAGTATTCATTTGCATATTTCTCAAATTTCTTATAACAATGAGCTGGGTTTGATATTTGATTTACATCATTTAAGGGGGAACAAGGACAGTCTTAAGTGGCCTAGGGCCAGTAACTCTCTGATTGATGCAGCTCCTTGTGTATCTGGCAATGAGTTATTCCTTTATACTCCTGGCTCCATGCATGTGGTCTAAATATTCATTATTGGGACATTCTCTGGGCCAGTGAGCTTGCTCTGGGTGGGTAGTTTTCTGATACAGGCAGCAGGATCTAGGTAATTGAAGTACACATTTCCTTTCTACAGTGCACAAACACTACATGACCACAAGCTTGCATCCTGATTCAGGTCATCACCCCTTCAGAAGAGGGCATCAGAGACAGTAGAGAGCACATCAACCTCATATCCTGTGGTTGAAAGGACTGTCATTGTCATTGTCACTGCTCATGGACTCTAAGCCCTAGGATTGGGAACAGCAGGCCTTTTGGAGATGCTCTAAGTTATATACATATATATAATACATATGTAAATTTTCTGTCAATACATATATGTGTGTGTCTCTAATTTTATGTACAATGCAAAGCCTTACATCAGACTTAATTTAAATGGGTAAAGTCTGAATAACTTACTTAGGAATGGATGGGGCAGAGTTTGGGGATCCCCTTCAGTATTTAAGAAATGCAAGAAAAATTTAAAGTACTTTGAAATCACTGATTGCTGGTCTGTAATTTTAGAAGGTGACATCAGTGAGGCTGAGACTGGAGGACTCAGAACCCAGCTTCATTGGATCCAGACACATTTATTTTGTCCCCCATAGTCATAAGGCCTTGGAGTTAGAAATTTTATTCTATGGCACTTTGGTTACCTATGTCTAGTATGATGAAAAGATCCTCAAAAGTAAAGCTAAAGCTAAATTTGTTTGTTCACAGACAAAGAATCCTTGGTATAAAACACTTGATTTTATGACCCTTTGGCCATATAGAAAAAATATGCCTCTTAACAACTGTAAAATATTATATTTGATGACTTATTCTGGATAGAAGAAAACAGGTAAAATAGGTCTACAATGGTTCTAATAATCTCAGGATACATAAGCCCTACAGAGAGGCTAATAGAACATGAGGGTGGTGACTAAGGTGCAGTTACAAAGCAATTAGAAGCCTTGATTTTTTTGTAAGGATGTTGGCACTTTGTTGAAATATGGACAGCCAATTAAAAATATGCCTCTGTAAATAAAAGGAAGAAGTATGATAAACCAATCTTTCTGGAAGGGATAATTTAGTCAAGGGACACATATACTGAATAAATTTTAGGGAAGATGACAGTCAGATAAAGCAATTAATGTGATTATTATTCTAGCTCTGCAGAAGCATCCAGGGCGGGGGAGAGCAGTGTTGGGCAATGGGCAATGCCTGGGAGACATCATCACATTTGTAGTTCATTTTCTATGACACCTAGAACAGTAAAGAATGGGAGCAGCAGTGCCCCTGACTAGGTGGGGAAACTTGTGGGAACCAGAAACTAGAAAGACAATACTCTCTAGCTAGTATTCCTTTTAGGCAAAGTACAGGTAAAGGATAGAGAACAGGATCCTACTGTATCACTCTTTATCTTAGATCTCCTGCTGTGCTCTTTTTGACTGAATCCAATCAGAAGCCAGAACATGTGAAATGTATAATGTCATCCATACAGGTCAGTTTCCTGGGCACAGGACAGAAAGGAGAATGGGAACAGACAGTCTACGAGCAGGTGTGAAACACCCATCAAAGCATCTAACCAAGAGAAACAAGTGCTTGGTCCAAAAGAAAGTGTCCTCAATATCCATTCCAGAAACTGACAGTTAGTACTTGATTGATATCTGAAAAATTGTAGAAATGTACGAACAGATAGATGTATGGACCAATTGATAGATAAGTGGATCAATAGATGGATGAAAGGGTGATATATGGGTGAATAGATGGATGGATGGAGGAAGGAAGGGAGAGAAGGATGGATATGTGGAAAAATGGTTAAGGGTGGATTGACTTATAGATAGATGATTGGATGCATGGATGGATGGATGGAAATATCAGTAAAATGAGATCAAAGGACCTGGCTGGGCCTGTTGTGAATACTTGTACACTTGCTCAATGATAAGCAATATTCGTGATCCTATGTGGAACCTACTTGTGCCTCTACCAGGCAACATTATACAACCCATAGTAGGAGATGCTTTGTATCATTAAAGATATTGAGACATATTTAGATTTCTACTTTGTAAGTTAGCAAATATACTTACTGTTTCACAATCTATCCTTTAAAATAAACCAATAAGTGCTGGATGGTCAAACAATTCCAACTGCTATGGTAGTTTTGAATACTAAATTATTTTAAACCAGTTTTTCAAATTATGATTTCAATGAAGCATTGATTAAAGTTAGTAAATATGAAACATATTGAAGTAGAATTAAGAGAGTAGCATATAAAGAGAGTAGTTATAATAGGGCCAGGGATTTAGCTCAGTGGTTCGGTGGCCTGCCTTGCAAGCGCAAGGACCTGAGTTCAATCCCCAGTACCAAAAAAATAAAAATAAAATCTGAGAGTAGTTATAATAACTTGACAAATTTGCCTAACAATTTTTAATATAGATTCATTAACTATAATCATTCAATCAAGTTCCTCTACCATTTTACATATATTACATACCTAGAAAACAATAACAAAAATTTAAAACAGACATTATTTACCAATTTGGCTTTTTTTTTATATACAGAGATAGCTTATACAAAGGGTGATCAAAATATAAAATAAACATTTAAATTTTAAAATTTATTATAATAAAAGATAGATTGCCATTAATCCATCTCAAAATACTCCCCCTCTCTTCAAACACACCTGGCCCATAATTCTTGCGACTTTCTGAAGCAGTTCTGGAAGTTCTCTTTCATGGATGTCTTTACAATGTGTAGTCAAAAATACAGTAAATGCTGCCAAGTCCCATTAAATGGAAGCATAGGTTCATATGAATGTAATCCTAGGTCCTCATCTAACTTATTTTTTTCTTATTGAGTTTATTGTTACATTTTAGGTATACAGTACAGTTACATTCATCATTGGGATCTTGTACCTTTACATGACAGGTCTTGGTTCTCATTTTTTCCCCTTACCCCTGCTCTGCCTTCACCTCCTCCTCCCTTGCCAATTTACAAACACTTTATTTCCATTTTTTCATAGTCTCATGGTTTTTTTTTTCTTTTCCCTCTTTTCCTTTCCCCTACTGGTCCTCATCTAACTTATTCGCTGACTCTGGAACCATGCTACTTCTGGCTCTTTCCCAATCCAAAATTAACATGAAAGGTAAACATTTTGAATCAATTCATAATAATCAAGGCAGCCATGATTAGGCAACTAGAGACATTTATTAAAAAGGGACCTAGAGAACTGCTTCAGAAACTGGAAAAAATGGTAGCACAGTGGTATTTGAACTGAGGGGAAGTAGTTTGAGATGGATTAATGGCAATATTTCATTTACTGTAATAAATTTTAAAAATGTAAACAATCACTGTATTTTTCTATCACATCTACAATTACAAGAACCTATGTGAGGAGTCATGTTTTACATTTGTTGTAATGTCATGATACTGAATGTTGTTTGGTTTTATGTAGTTATTCTGTCAGCCCTCCTATATGTGGGTTCTGCATTCTTGAATTTTACTAACTGCAGATTAAAGTTTTTTTGTAAATGTGTCTATTTTAAACATATACAGACTCCTTTTCTTGTCATTATTCTCTAGTATAACAGCTATTGACACTGTGTTTATATTTTATTAGGTATTATAGGTAATCTGGATATTATTTAAATATATAGAAGAATATGAATGTCACGTGAATGTTACACCATTTTGTATAAGGAATTTAAGTACCTGAAAATGTTGGTATCTGCAGGGGTTCCTGGAATATAATGTAAAATGTTGTAAAAGCAAACAAATGTGCCATTTTTAAAACAGTTTGACAATAAACCTCCTCCTTTTTCTCCAAAAAAAATTTTTTTATTGAGTTTATTGGTACAATCTAGGTCTACAATATAGTTACATTCATTACTGGGATCCTGTACCTTCACATGACAGGTCTTGGTTCTCCAAAAAATTTTAAAAGAAATTGAGTACTATGTAGCAACTGTTACATATTTGTAAAATATTTATAAAATAAAGATTAGTACATAGTACACGTAAATATATAATAACATCTTTAGTACATCACAGATAAAAGCCCGAAACTACATTCAGAGAGAGAGATAATGAGAGATTACTTACAATTATATCTTTAACACCAGGCAGACATTTATGATGAAAGCTGCTAAAAGCCTCACTGAGGGATGCTCCTGAGATGATAAATAACTACAAAGGTGCTTCCCTACCAGCTAGCCATGCAGTTCTACTAAATCTTCCCCCACCACTTTTATCCTGATGGAAGATGGTCCCATAAATATCATTCTTATGGGCTGACCTTGATTTTGACAAAAAGTGTTCTAAAGTAAAATAAATTATCTGCCAATTTAAAAAAAATAGTTGGATGGAAAACAGTTGGGCAGGTTAGAGAATTTGGAATTTAGGGAGATACTTTATAAGCATCAGAGTGTTGAAGTCAAAATATTGTCATTTTTAAAGAAAAATCAGAATTATTCTGTTTTTTAAAAAATGAATTTAAGGAACCAAGGATTTAGCTCAGTGGCATCATGCCTGCCTCACAAGTGCAAGGCCCTGAGTTCGATCCCTGGTACCAAAAACAAAAGTGAATTTACGAAGTTTAATTTTTTTATCTATATTCCATAGGGAATGGAAAGCAAGTACATGTTCTTAAAGAATAAGCATGAAGTATAAAAATATAATACACAGATATTAAAGACTTTCAATGTAACTGACACAGTGCAGATTTCAAAATTCACCTGCCTCTGTATTCTGTTCTTAATGTCACAAGTTCTTGTTTGTGTTGCTGTGCAAGCTATCTCCAGGGAAGAGTTCAATTATTGCCTAGGACCACTTTATCATCCAACTAGACTTTTCCCTTATTAAAACATCCATGGCTCAATTGAAAATGGTAATGAAAGTCACCCAAACTCACATTTTAATCACAGTACTAAGGCATTCTTTGTTGTGACCTCAGACACGATTCCTGGATCCTTGGCTTTGTCACCCTCTCCCTTTAAAGAAAGCACACAGAAAGTGATATTGTGCATAAATGCTGCATCATTCACTTTTATTTGCTTAATGTGTACATCATGTGTTACTTTTCAATAACAAATTACTTGTGGACAAAAGGTCATACTCAGTCTATGATGGAAAAATGACCTGTGTATATGTGTACACCTGTGTATTTTTGCATATGGTATGAAGTGTGCTTCTGTGTGTGCATGAGTGTTTGCTTATGCAGATAGAGAATCTTTCAGCAAAGAGGATATGTATGAGTACATGAATGGATATGTGTGTTTTGCACTGTCATATGCATGTATGTGTATTTTATGTACATTTGTATGTGTGTGTATGTGTGCATCTGTATCCCCATGAATATGTGTCCATATATGTTCATGTATGTTTGTTTTTATGTGTGTATGCATGGGGCACACATGGATAAACATATATGTCTCATAAATGCATGTATATGTGATATGTGTGTGCATGCATGTGCAATGCTGCTTGCTCAGTCACTTTCTCATTGTTGGAGCAAAACACCTAATACCTACAAGTGAAAGGAGGAGAGGTTTATTTTAGCTTGCAGTTATAGTCCATGGTAGCTTGGCTCCAAGGCAGAAATGCTAGAGTAGAAGGTTCTGGCAGGAGAAAGATATTCACATCACAGCAGCCGGGAAGCAGAGAATGAAGGAGGAGCAGGGGCGGGAGATCTGCCATTCCATGCCAGTGACCCACCTCTGTCCACCAGGCCTCCTCTCCAAACAGCCCACTCAGCTGCTGAACTCATCAGTTGATTAACCCACTGCTGAGTATATCATCCCCATAATCCGTTCACCTTTTAAACACACAAGGCTTCTAGAGGACACCCCAAATCGAATTGTAACACTGATGGGACTTTGACAGCCTAAACAGAGCTTCAGTGAACTTCCTAGAACCTTATCTTCCTTAGACAAGCCTGGAAGCTGCTCCTCCTTGAGCACATTTAACATCTGCACTTCGGTCTCGGTGCCGGTTCTAAAACCAGTTTATTAAAGGTGACTTCAGTCCTAAGGCTTGTCTGTGCTTCTGCTGCACATGTAAGCAGCCCCAGCCTACAGAAAAGGGCAAGTCGGCCTCTCACTGCCCAGAACTTACAGAGGCCTCACTTGCTCTTCAGCCTCCTGGCTTTGCTGCCAGTGTGAGCCCCATTGGCAGCCCAAACATCTTCCTCACCAGCATCTTATGTGCCAGCCGAAAGAACCAAGTCCCACAGTGGACTGTGATAGGATATTGCTTTCTTTAAAAGATGAATTCTAAGTTGGCCTATTTTTGAACTGGAAAATCATTAGTGTTTTCCAAATCCAGATCCCCTACCATATCTAAATCAAAAAGTTCAAATGAAGAATTAAAACCACCATATAGGTATGGGGCAATATGATTTTTCTCGGGTTTATAGGTTACAGATATTTCTAAAATCTCTCTCCTAAACCAGGTGTGGTGGTGTTTACCTGTAATCCCAGCACTCGAGGAGGCTGAGACAGAAGAATCACAGGTTCAAGCCTCCCCTGGGCAATTTAGCAACATAGTGATACCCTGTCTCAAAATAAAAAATAAGAAGAGAGCTAGGGATATAGCTCAATAGGAATGTCCTGGGTTCAACTTTCAGTACCACCGCAGATAGATAGACAGGTAGACAGATACATACATAGATAGATTTTTTTAAAGTAAAATGCTTCTCTTTTCACCAGGAAAAGAAGGGTATGAAGGAACATAGGAAAACCAGGGGTGGATGTAGGGATCAGAAGTGAGGCTCTGAACAGCCTGCTACAGACCTGCCGTCTTGGAGCCTTCTCTGAGCTCCCAAATGGCATACTCATGGCACAACTCTGGAGAAGTTCCTGTCCAGTCTCCAGTGAACGCAAATCAAGAAAATTATTAGGTTATTATGGAAAAATAGACACAAGTACCAAGACATTCCAGAATGTGTGCTTTCCTGGTGCAAGGAAATAATCTGACTTTCACAACTGAAAACTCAGAATTTGGGAAAATTTTAAAGGTGAGTTCCTAGTGTTTGATAATGGTGATTCTTATAAATGGCTTTAGTTTTAGTTTGTATTCATATTTTATACCCAGAATATGACCAAAAGAAGTATGTAATGGACTAGGAAAATATGTATCTCAATTTGATAAAGTTTCACTCAAAATCCACAGCTAGCACCATAACTAAAATAAAAGAATGAACACTCTTCCCTTCCCCCAGGTGAGGAACAAAATTAGCATGTCTTTCTGGCCAGTTCTTTTCAATATGGTTTTGGAAGTTCTAGTTAGGGCAATCAGGTAAAAGAAGGAAATGATGGCTTTCCAGAATTTAAAGGAAGAAGAAAAACAACAACTTCAAATGTTATAAATGTATACAAAGAAATCCACTATGAATTTGCTAGAATTAATAAATGAGTTTAATAAGACTTCAAGATACCAAATTAAAATACAAAAATTTGTTCTGTTTTTATACAGTAGCAGTGAGCATACTGACAATGAAATTAAGGAAACAGCTCCATTTATAATAGCATCTGAAGGAACATATACTTATAAAGTCAACAAAAGGAGTGAAGAAACTTACTTTCTAAAAACTACAAAATATTTTCAGAAAGAAATTAAAGACTTAGATAAATAGAAAGACAGCTTATATTCATAGAACACAATACTTAACATTCTTAAGAACACAATAGCTCCCCAAAAATTATTCTACAAATTCAAAGCAACCCCTATCAAATTGCTAGCAGGTTGCAAAGAGTGACAAGCTGGTTCAAAAATTCATATGGAAAGTCAAAGGACACTAAATAGTTAAAATATAATAAGAAAGTTAAAGAATGCACTATTTCTAATTTCAAAACTTACTGCTAAGCTATATGTACTGAAATAGTGTGGTGCTAAAAACAACAAGCATACAAATCCATGGAATAGAATGGAGAATTCCAGAAATAAATCAATATATTTATGTCTAATTAATGCAATTACTTTTTGCAAGAGCACCAAGATAATTAAATGAGAAAAGAAAAGTATTTTCAGCAAATGGTACAGGGATAACTACATATATGTGAAAGAATGAAATTGGAACCCCATTATACAATATATGCAAGAATTAACTCACTAGATCAAAGACCTACAATTAACCCAATTTTTTAAAAGACTAATAATCCAATTTAAAAATTGGAAATGGACATGAATAGACATTTCTCTAGAGAAGATAGGCAAACAGTGAATAAGCACTTGAAAAGATGCTCTCTGTAATTAGCTATCAAGGACATGCAAATCAAAATAATGAGCTATCACTTCACACCTATTGGGATAGCCATAAAAATAAAACACAAGTGTGACTGAGCATATAAAAATTAGAACCTCCTACACTGCTAGTGTGAGAAATAGTGCAGACACTGTAGCAAACAATCTGGAAATTCCTCAAAGGTGAAATCTAGAGTGACCATCAGACCCAGAAAATCCACATCTAGAAGTATAGCCCCACACACAAAAGCTTGTGCACAAGTGTTCACAGCAGCATCTTTGCAATTCCCAACAGGCAGAAACTACCCAAATATCTGTCAATTGATAAATGAGTTTGCAAAATCTGGTGAATCTGTACAGTGGAATATATAAAAGAAGGAAAACCTAGAACACAGATGAAGCTTGAAAACACTGTACTAAGTGAAAGAAGCCAAGCATAAAAGATGGCTTATCATACATGATTCCATTTTTACAAACTTCACAACACAGAGAAATTCTTTTTTTTATTGAGTTTATTAGTACAATCTAGGTCTACAATACAGTTACACTCATTAATGGGATCCTGTACCTTCACATGACAGTTCTTGGTTCTCATTTTTCCCCCTTGTCCCTGCTCTCCCTTCATCCCACCTCCCCTCCCCATTTACAAACACTTTATTTCCATTTTTTCATTTTCTCATATTTTTTCTTTTCCCTTATTTCCTTTCCCCTACCCTTCCCACTTTCCCTACATCTTTAGCCCTTTTCTTCCTATTTTGCACTCTTAATTATCCCATTAGGATCTTGTGTACTGTTATAGTATTTCACACCAGAGAAGCTATTCCATATTTACACATGTGACTTATTTATTTCACTTGAGTATATCCTCAATATGTATCCATTTTCCTATGAATGACTCAATTTCTCATTCTTTATGGCTGAGTAGTATTCCATTTTATAGAAAAACCACATCTTCTTTGTCCAGTTTCCAACAGATGGGCAGATGAGCTGCTTCCAAATTTTAGTTATTACAAACTGTGCCGCTATAAACATTGGTGCTCATATATCTCTGTGGTATGATTCTTTAAATCTTTTGGAAAGACACCCAGCAGAGGGATGGCTGGGTCAAATGGATCCTCTAGACCTAGCTCTTTGAGGTATCTCCATATTGATTTCCACAGTGGTTGCACCAGTCTGCACTCCCACCAACAGTGGAGAAGGGTTCCTTTCTCCCCAAAACCCTGCCAACATTTGTTATTGTTTGATTTCTTGATAGCAGCCATTCTCTGTGGGGTGAGGTGGAAGCACAGAGAAATTCTATAGCAATTAGGAGTTCCCTGGATTAAAGGGAGGGGATGGGTGATGGTATAAGGGGTTTTGTTTTTGGAGAGATAAGAATGTCCTAAAATTGACTGTGGTGTTTGTTGTACATATCTGTGACCACACAAAAAGCAACTGAGTTATGCACTTTAATGTCATAAATACTTGGTATGCTTAATCAGCTTTTTGTCACTCTAGCAAAATACCTGGAGATATCAATGCCATCCTAGGCAACAGAGACATGGCAGCGTGTATAACAACTCCCAGTTTGAAACTATACTACAAAGCCACTGTGATAAAAACAGCATGGTACTGGCAAAGAAACAGACCTGAGGATCAGTGGAACAGACTGGAAGATACAAAAACAACTACAGATATACTCAGCTACCTCATCTTTGACAAAGGAGCTAACCATCCTCAGTGGAGCCAAAATAGTCTCTTTAACAAATGT